CAGTTTCCTTCGAGAGCTTTGAGATTCTGACTCGAGATTACAAGAGTTGCCCTGTACTTCCTTCTAATGTTCTGTGGTTTTTCTATCTTGCATTTAATTAACTTGATAAAGATCATAGTTTATTACTGCCGTAATTTTGTGGGCAGTATTTTGCCAAATGTATAATGAGTTGTGCTAATATATTTTACTGGGTAATAGCCCTTTCCTAACATGATTTAATGCCCTCTTTATTGTTTAGGAAATTGTCTACGTATATCCACATTTCTCGGCACGTGTTTCTGCCCTGCCTCCCCTGAGGTCATTCCAAGGCTATTCTGATCACTGAAACACAACGACTTGCTTCGACTTGTTTTAATAGCCAGAGCAATTACAAGGCAATTGCTTTTTTTCTAGAACTTTCTTGGCTTTCTTTGCAGGTCTAGATAAACCTTAAAACCTTTTGGTTACATTCTGTAAAGAAGTGCTGGCGGGACACTGACTACAGCTCTGTCTGCCTGTCACTGGGAAGAGTGGCATCCGTACCACGCTGTTTTCAGCCCGGAGACTTCTGTAGTTTTATATGTTTTTACTTTGCTTCTTACCAGGTCTGCGCCTTCTCCTTTAAGGAACTTGAAAACGCGTTCCTTCCTGCAGCAGGATCAGGACCACCTTCAGAAGGTGATCTATTCTTACACGACAGCCACAGCATCTCGGCAGTCACTACTGAAGGACTGTGTCAATGCATGTTTTTCTGAGACAGGAAGAACTGTTTTAGGGTCGCGGGGGAGTTTTCCAGCTTGGCCTGCCTGTCCTTTTGCCACTTCTGGCTTTGCTCTGTTTGAGAGACCTGAGCATTACATGTGGCTCAAGCCCACAATCTGTCACTGTGGAGTCTGTCCTGGGTCTGTCATTGGTCTGCATCCTCCTTACCCCTTTGTCATTTTTCTTCCCTGAGGGAAGCCTTTGGCACTCTTCTCTCACAGCCGCCTGGTAATTCCCACCAACGTTGCCCATGCAGGTTTCTCCACCCGATACTTTCCTCACTGTTTCTGCACCTTCTTGTTGGAGGGAGCTATGTTTTTCAGTTTAAATCTTTCTCTCATCACATACTGTTGTCTGCCGTAGACTCACGTCACTCTGACATTTTCCTGAGCTTCCAAATCTGGGTTTTTAAATGATTTCTCCTTTTTCTTGGAGTCAGTCCATTTCCTGAAGGAACGCTGGCCCTTATTACAAATGAAAACTGATATGGCGGATTTGTTGTTCTTTTTCAGTCTTGTCTGGTTTCTATAGCATTGGGATTTTTAAACTTTTGCCTATACATCTTTAGAGAAGGAGGCCCGTGGAACCTTGGGAGGGGCTGTCATAGAGAGCTGGCTCCAAGGTGGCGTCCTCCCCACAAAGATGGAAGAACAGAGAAGCTGGAATTCACAGCACTCTGCTTTCCAGGCAATTTCCAGGGAAGTCTGGGAGGTAAGAGTGGGTGGGAAGAGGATCCAGAGTGACAGAATTCATGCTGAATGGCTTGTGTCCTACATATCAACACTTAACTGAGCTGAACAGAGCTCCCATAGGGGCCACCCAGTCTGCCCTGGTGTTAGACTTGAACTTCTAATCCCAGAGGTGCTCATGGGAAAGACACCTCTAATGCCGTTTGCTCCCTCAGCCCTACCCCGTGGAACTCATGTGTTTTCTTGGCGGCTTTTCCGCTGTTAGAGAATTCGGGTTCTCCCGCCCCATCTTTGCGGACACAAAGCAGATGCTTTTCTAAAGCATCCGCTGCTCCCTGAAGAAAGCGGCTTTAGAGATCTGCTCTTTGTCCACGTTCTCCAGCTAACGGCTTTCTGGAGCTCCGGAATGATCCCCAAACGACTTCATTCTCATCTTTGCCCCTCTGAGAAAACAGGAAAGCCATGTCTGCACGCTTGGCATCTGCAGACAAGCACACAGGATGCCGATTGTCTTGGGCCACTCTTCACTCTCCCGGGGCTGGGGGGGGGGGGGTCAGCAGCCCCTTCCATCCACTGTCCAGAGGATTTATAGAGCCCTTGACCCCTTTTTCTTCAAGCAGTCTCCCAGGGAAGAACTGGTCCTGGATCTCAGTATAGTGATGGAGTCTCTGGGTGGTGCCAGACCCCATTAAGGATCTGCAACAAATAAAATCTGCCTACCGCTTCATGCCCCATCCTCAGTCCCTAACCCCCAGTTCACGTGATGAAACTTCAGGTGCCGTATTAGGAGACAGTGTTCTGGGAAACTGACTAGGTCATGACAACGGATTTGAACTCTTGTAAGAGACTTTTCAGAGAGCTTCCTCCCCTCCCGCCATGTCAAAATAACCGAAAAGTGCCTCCTATGGACAGACTATCACCAGACAGCAATTCTGCTGGTGTTTTGATCGTGAAGTTCTAGCCTCTGAAACTCAGAAATCGCTTTTTGTTGTTTGTAAGGTACTCAGTCTATGGGGTTTTGTTAGAGCAGACGGACATCTCTCATTTCTTTCCCTTTGTATGAATAAACGTTAGAAGTGTTATCCTTCTGCAAGGCTGTGTGAGGTACCGTGCTGAGGACCCTGTATACATTATTCCTCTTCATCTTCACAGAAGCACCACAGAGTGGAGTTAAGTGCGGGTATTGTGAGACTTATTTTACGGATGGCAAAAACTGAGCTCAGACACATGAGATCCTTCGCAGAGACCACACAGATGGTAAACATGGAATGCCATTCTATTAACAGTTATCAACCCTATTTGAAGGGGTGTTACCATTTGGCACACAGTGTGCCCTTCACAGTGACATTTCTGCCTAAGAATAGAAGGGAAATCCCATGCCATGGTTGTAACACATGACAAAAGAATGGAAGGAAGGTTGATTATGCTTAGTTTGAGGGTACAGTCTATCGTGGCAGGGAAAGCAGGGTAACAGAAGCTTGGGGTGACTGGCCACACTGTGTCTGAGGTCAGAACACAGAAATATGTTTATGTTCCACTGGTTTTTTCCTTTTATTCAGCCTGGAACCCCAGTCCGTGGAATTGTGCCTCCCACTTCTAGGGTAGGTCTCCCACATTAGCTAACCCGTTCTAGATACTCCCCTACAGCCACGCCCAGCAGTTCATCTGCCATTTAATTCTAAATCCCATCAAGTTGATGAGCAATACTAACTACAAGTCCATTCCTTGTCAATATGTGATGTGAATATCACACATAAGTCATACCCTCCTGCCTTTTAGCCCCACAACCTCACGGCCATCTCCTAATGCAAAATGCATCGAGTCCAACATCAAAAGTCCCAATCATTTTTAACAGTTACAACACTATTCAAATACATAAGTACAGTTTGTTCAGATATGCTCTGAGGCCATTTCTTAACTGCAAGTCCCTAAAAACAATCCAAAAACCAATTATTTACTTCCAATATGCAATTACACAGAACATTCCTATTATAAAAATCATAAATGGGGAAGAGCAGGGAATGATGGAAATGAAGAGAACACAGAAAGGCCAAGGCCTGCAGCTTCATGTCCAGCAGTTAAGACTCACGATGGGATCATCTGGGACCCAAAAGGTTTGAGTTGCTCTGCCACCGGCACAGACAGCAACTCTTGGACCAGCTCCACTATGTGTCTTCTGCTTGTCTTGATGATTATCCTATGATCCAGGCTTCTCCAGGATCCCGGGGTCTCCACTGCAACCTAAACTTCACCTTCAGAGCACCATATAAGGGCCTCCAAGGGCCTCCTTGCAGGAATCCAACCCAGTCGCACGCTGCTGGCCTTCTCAGTTCTCTGAAACCTGGTGCAGGCCGCCCGCTGATCTCATTATTGCATCTTTCATGCTACAAAACCAGTAGCCTACGAATGGCACTGCCAAGATCTGTTGCCAACTTGGAGTACAGCCTGGCTGCTCGGACCAAAGCTGTAGAGGTTTGTGTGAGCTTGGACAGCTGAATCTAAGGGAAAAGCTCTCCTGGGCAGTCCTTTGCAAGCTGGGGAACACCTTTAGTAGCATTCTGAGTTCAAGGTCTCTCCTTTCAAAGGGATTTATGGTTTTATGAGTTGGAACCTTCTATGTGTGGAGTCTTATACCAAGGGCACATTTCCTTTCCCTGACAAAATAGTGTATTTCGTGTATCTTTCTGCTCAGCTCTCTGCTCCCTCTCACTATTGACCTAGGTCAGATTGGAGAGCAATGACCACTCCACAGCCTATATTCTATCCTATTTTGATATTTCTTCCATCAAGCAAATTATTACTTTTTAATTTAGTCACAATAAAATTCTCAGGTCATGCTCAGAATGCAATTTTTTTTTTTTTTTTTTTTGCCTAACTATAACTCAAATGGCCCCTATCCCAGTTCCAAATAGAATCCTATTCTTCTCCGAAAGATCGTGAGCTGGGCCTCCACTTCCCACATTTCTCCCAGGCTTTGAATCTTCCAAACTTCCATCAGAGCAGCTTAGTGAGCTCAGTTTAAATATTCAAGGTTATTCTAGCCTGAAGCTCCTCCCACAAATCAGCTCTAGGCCCTAAGAACCTCATCACACCAGTGATTCCACTGCTCAGTACCAGCTTTTCCCCCTGCTGTGACAAAAGGGCAACTCAAGGAGGAGTTTGCTTTGGCTCATAGTCTGAGGGCACGCGGTCCATCATAGCAGAGAAGGCACAGCGTGAGGCAGCCGGTCACATTGCACCACGTCAGGAAGCAAGGGAAGAAGAATGCTAAGGTGTTGTTTGCGTTCTGTTTTCCCCAGTTCAGGAATCCAACTCTAGGAAGGGCCGACCACTTTGAGGGTGAGTCATCCTCCCTCGGTTGGCCCAGTCTAAAATGTCCCCCACAGACGTGCCTAGAAGTTTTTCTCTTAAATAATTCTAGATCTCCTCAAGTTTACAGTCAATACTAACCTTCACAAATGGAATACTGCTTTTCCAGGCCCTTATAGGGGAAAAAAGGCAGAAAGGAGCAAGAGGATGTTTTATGAGCACAAAAGAAAGTCACAGTCATTTTCCCATAGCTCTGCTTACCTCCTTCTCCTCTTCCCTTCCTGGGGGCCAGAGTTATTGTTCCTTGTTTACCTTTTCCTAGGTACAGCATGCGCATTCTGTCTGCCTTAGGCCACTCCCTTGGGGGGGTGCGCACTCGTCTCCATATTCTTGACAGAAAAAGAACAAAACGAAATATTAAAACATTAAGACCAAACCACAGTATTCCCACAAGCCTCCTGGGATTCTTCTGAGGGTAAAATTCTGGAATGAGGGAACGTGGAGACATCTAATCATCCTTAAAAAAACTGACTACATCAGCGGTTCATTCAGCCCCCACAAGAGCAGAAAGGAGAATGCCCACAGTGTTGGTCAGTATGGTCTTAAGTTTGATGTAGTAACAAAGAGTGTCCAGGTCTCTGCGGTTTAAAATGACACAGATTTATGTCTTCGTCTGTTCCACATCCGTTTGAACTTATCAAAGTGCTCTGCTCCTCAGCGAGGGTTCGGCCTTCCAGCGGCTGCTATTTCAAAGATTCTGGTCACTGGGCAAGAAGACAGGAGCCCTGGGAAGATCCTGAGGTCAGTTCAAAATGCCGAGTTAGACATGCAGCAGCCTCTCCATCGATAATACATTCTCCAGAAATAATCTCATTTCTCCACCCCACCACAGATGGACTGAGAAGTACGACCCTACTGAGTGCTTATACAGAGAGAAACATGACAAAGCACTTCCTGGGGCAATGTTCAGCCACATCCTGCCTGCTGCAGTCAGTGGTACCAAGATCCATGAGAGTCCCAAGAAGCACAGTCTCCCAGGTGGCTGTGACAAGATTAAGTCCTTTTAGAAGAGTGGTTCTCAACCTGTGGGCTGTGACTCCACATGGGCCACATATCAGATATTTTTATTTCAATTCATACCAGTAGCAAAATTACCGTTATGAAGTTCAAAGAGATAAATTTATGATTGGGCATCACCATAAGGATGATATGAGGAACTGTACTGAAGGCCACAGCCTTAGGAAGGTTGAGAACCGCTGATCTAGAAGACGCGAGAAGAGAAACCGTCTCTCGGTAGAAACGGCCTCTTCTCTTGTGGTTTTAATTTTCCTTCCCCATTGTCTTAGGTTTGAAAGCTAACTTTTCTAGCTGAGTTATACCTACCACATAGGATTAGCTTCAAGGCTAACACTAACTGTGAATTCCGTCTTGATTAAATGACTAATGAGCTCTGGCAGAACCAAGCTGATGTCCCCTCCTGGAGTGCTGAAATCAATGCCTCTCCCAGACTGTCCTGTCGTCTGCACAGGGCAAATCAGCTGGCTGCCCTGCAGTAGGAGTTCCCCGGTTTGTCCTCTTCCCAATTCAGTGAAGGAGCCAAGTTGCATATCGTTGAGATCTGTAGCAAAATGCTGTAATGTAAATTATTGAGGAGAATCGGTTTCCACTGCTGCTATTGCTGAAAGATAATTCTGTCTCCTCAGCCAGCACCTCATTCTGCCTGGGCTCTTTTGAACAGGAACATGTGTAAATGCATATGCATGTGTGTGTATGCATGTATGTGTATGTATATATGTGTGTAGGGATGTGTATGCATGTATGTATGTGTGTTTTGTGCATGTGTATGTGTGTGTGTGTGTCTGTGTGTCTTTGTGTGTGTGTGTGTGTGTAGTGGTTTGAAAGAAAATGACCCCAATAAGGAGTGGCACTATCAAAATGACTTGTTGGAGTAGGTGTGGCCTTCTGGAGGAAGTGTGTCACTGTGGGGGCAGACTTTGGTGACTCTTTTGCTCAAGCTCCCCTCAGTGTGGCATTCAGTTGAATTCCTGTTGCCTGCAAGATGTAGCATTCTCATCTCCAGTACCACATCTGCCTGCATGCCACCATGCTCCCCATCATGATGATAATGGACTGAACCTCTGAGACTGTGAGTGAGCCTCCCCAATTAAATGTTTGTTTTATAAGAGTTGCTATGGTCATAGTGTCTCTTCACAGCAATAAAACCCTAAGACAATGTGTGTGTGTGTGTGTGTGTGTGTGTGTGTGTGTACGCATGTACATATTCTGAAGTCCCTTTCCTCACTCAAAAACTTTTCCCTGGGGAGATACCATCCTCTATGTACAGCCATAACCACCAATGATACCTTTAGAATTCCAGACAGGCATGTCCAGACTGCTGGCCTGCACCTCATCTCCCTTCCCTATAAGTATCTTGCATTCAATAGTCTCAGGTTGAGCATCTTCCCTTCTGCTCTCTTAGGGTCATCTATCTCAGAAAACAGCTACCTGTGAAGGAGAACAAGCATTTCTCTGAGCAAATCTCCTCCCTCTGCCTCTCCCTTCCCCATCCCCTCCATCTCTCCTTCCTCTCCCTTCTTCCCTCCCTTATCTTCCTCTTTCTTCCTCTTTCTCCCTCTTTTTCTCCCTCTCCCTCTCTCATCCTGTCCATGTGGTAATCCTGATTCATTTTACATCCAGAGGGCTCAACCCATTCTCCCTCTTTGTCACACCCAACACACAATGGAGCCGTGATCAGTTTTCCGTGAGGTCACCTCTGCAAGGTCACTCCTGTAAGCTCACTGCTCATTGGTCTTTGTTTTTTAGCTCTCAACCCTTTCCAGTCCTTCTAGTGCATAATTTGAACATGAATATCTATTATTTTAAAGAATGAATTGAAGGTGGGTATTGCACAACACATTTATAATCCTAGTACTTTGGAGGCTGAAACAGAAAAATAGCTCCAAGTTCAAGGCCAGCATTGTCCACACAGTGAGTTCGTAGTTAGTCTGAAGCCCAGTGGTAGTGGCGTACACCTTTAATCCCAGCACTTGGGAGGCAGAGGCAGGCAGATCTTTGTGAGTTCGAGGCCAGCCTGGTCTACAAGAGATAGTTCCAGGACAGGCTCCAAAGCTACACACACACACACAAAAAAAAAAAAAAAAAAAAAAAAAACTTGTCTCAAAAAACCAAAAAATAAAAATGTTAGTCTGAATTAAAAAATGAAATAATATACCATTTTTATAAACTTCTTGATAGAATCCTCTTCCATCTAAGATGAAATTCCAAGTCTTGGCCAGCTCGCACACTTCATCATCTCCTCTGCCATTTTCCTCCCTGCTCACAGTGCCCTGACTGGCTACTCACCTTGTCACGTGTTTCCTTCTTCCTCCGCATCACCCTAGCCCATCCTGTCCCTCTGCCAGGCACGCTGTTCTGCTACTTCTTTGCTTGCCCTGCATCCTCCCAGATTCTTCAGCTAATGACTATTTCCTCATAGAGGCTTCTCCTGGCTACGCACTGTCTCCTTGGGCCCCTTTCACCTGATCCTTTCATTTTTCCCCACTTTTGATAAATCTTTATTAGTGTGTATGTGCATGCACATACGAGTGTGAGCACGCGCAGAGCTCAGAGGACACCTGGCTGAGTCAGTTCTCTACTTCCACACTTGTGTGGGTTCCGGGGATTGAACTTGGGTTGCCATGCTTGCACAGTCAGTGGCTTTACCCCCTGAGCTCCCCTGCTGCCACCACACTTTTAATGAGCATGTATTTCCAAGATTAGTTACATGGCTGCAAGTTACAAGGACAACGACCATGTTGTTATGCTCAAGACTCTCTTCAACCCTTTGCCCCAAAATTAGGGCAGGTTTTGGGTACACAAAAAGCATCAAGAAATACCTGTATTCTAAGTGAGCAAACCTGTGCACGTAGACCATGGAATACAATAATAATGATAATGACTTCTAAGTTCAGTTTGCTACTCAGAGAGCCAAAAGACGTGTGGACAGAGTTGCTTGTTTGTGAAAGAAAGAAATGAAATAACAACACCCCCCCACCGCGTGCTCATCAGCAGAGGACACACTAGTAAGCAGATGTGTCCGCTGAGCTCCTGCAGGGTTAAAAGAGGCTGGAAAGATCTTTACACGCTGTTACACCTTCAGTGTGCTTTATAGTGAGTGCAGTACGATACCCCTTGTCTGAGAAAAGCGGCATGATATGTGTATGCCTGCTTTCTTTTGTTTAAAACTATGAAGAAAAAACATTTAATTTTAACATAGAAGAGAGGAGGAGACTGGAGAAGAGCCGGGAGCGCTCTATGCACTTTCTGGGCAGTTTAGCTCCAGAATCCCATCGTGAAGTCACAAAAAACTGAACCAAACTTGGAGGAAAATTCTTACAAATCAAAACAAAACAAAGAAATCTATTGGGACAGTGTTTAACCGCACAGAGGAGAACCATTTTAAATAAACCTAAGCCGTAGGGCTGGAACGGCTCACACATGCCGGTGCGGTTGGGATTGAGGACAAAGGACTCGGAGACATTCTCAGTGGCTGTCAGTTGTCCTGTTTGTTAGTACGTGGTACTGAGGATAGCATTTGGAATTGTGCCCTGCACTCTCACACAAAATACTTAAAAAAATCAATCTAGTCTTAATGTAAGATTAGGAAAAGTAATATAAAATCAAAAAAGCTAAAATCCCTTGAAACCTTGGATTTTACTTAGAAATATAAATATGAACTCACAACACACACCTTTTCAAAAAAAACCACATATTCTCACCTGTAGTAGCAATGAATACTTATTTCTTTGATTTCCAAGAAAAATACCCAGAAGCAGAGAACATCGTGTCAGTAATGACTTCCCCCAGCACCCGTACTTCGGTCCCTAAGTGCTTTCCTAGGGCTCCATCCAGCTCCCGTCAGAAATCCCATGCATGTGTTTACTCTAGGTGATCTCATCGTAATGGAAAACACGAAGGCCAACCAAGTTATCTGGGAAATCTCTAAAATATTGGGGGACCGAGCTGGAAGGATTCCCACTAGCGGAGAACAAATAATCAACAAAGAGACCCATGAGTTGAATTATAGGAAACAAGTTAAAAATCCATGGGTGAGATGACAGCAATAAAATGCCCACATTGATCACATCAAGTCACTTTTCCAAAAACTGGTAAGTGGGGAGAAAAAGAACATAAGTGGACTTTTCTATACACACTCTCGTTGGGGCAGCTGACCAGTGACAGGCTGGAAGCGCCTATCGGTAGATAAAGTCCAGCTAACAGACTCAGAAACAGTTACCATGTTAGAATGTCACAATCAGCACCCTTCAGAAAATCATGGGTGTGCAGGGACCATGGATAGCCAGCAAAGCCATTAGATGAGAATCTGAGAAGAAAACTCCCACTTAGGAACCTTTGGATCCCAAAGAGAGAGATGCCAGGCTCCCAGCACCGTGGTGGCAGGCAATGGGAGGAACCCAAAAGTACATGATAAACATTCCTGCTGAACAAATTCCAAGCTTAACAAGCCAGTTCACGCAGGACAGAGAGCAGCATCACTGAGTAGTCAGCCAAAGCCAGCGTGTGAAAATGTCCATGGGGCTCCTTATTCAGTTTCTCCAAGTGAATAACAAGGCAAACCGGGGAGGAGGGGGAGGCTGTGTGTAACAAATACACCCTTCCACTGCCTGCTACTAATCAGCAGTGAGAAGAACTAGGGAATCTGATCACTGACCGGCTAGTAGGTGATATGAACGGATTACTTCACATGCCAGTGTGATAATGACAAACTGGCTGTTTTTTAAGTAAGTCCATTTCTCTTAGAGATGAACAGCTAAGCAATTCTGGATAAAATTTTTCAATACCTGCTTTTCTTTTACATTATCCATTGGAGGCATTACAGCAGCGATAAAGGGGGGACATTTTGTAGATAAAGCAAGAGAAAATTGTAGCTAAATGTTGTTGTCCCAACCTAAACATCTCTTCTCGACAGATATTAACAAAATAAATAAATTAGTTCTTAATTCTATCAGAGACTATGAATCCCATGTGGTTTCTTTATAATAATTTAACTTTATATTTAAGACTATAAGATATATCCTAAAGTTGTCATTTAACCCATCTACAACAGATTGGCAAAGCCAGAAGCCCCTCCTCCACACTCATGTCTCTTGCTGGGAAAATAGCTCAGTGGTAGTCACAATCCTGGTGCCTCCCTTGCCCCTCACCCTCGGCCTGGGCCAGGATCTGCAGTTTGTACAGCCTACTCCTGTGAGAACACAAATGTAATCACCTGATAGCCCAGCTCCAGACTGTGGCCTCCACGTCCAGACAAATCCGGGTTCCTGGCAATGTTTTCTGTTCCGTTTGCTGGTATCTTACAGACCATACCCATCTGCTTACACTGGAGAGCTGGTGTAGACACACCTTCCTGCTACGCCACCTCCGTTTCTCCTCAGGGAAAAGTCATCTACAGCTTTTTTTTTTTTTCTGGTACATTCCTGCCGTGACGAGCAGGTGATGACGGTCTCTTTACCTTCTTAGCTCAAGGGATAACACAACTTTCACTAACATCTAACAAATTTGTCAATGCCCAGGGTTCACGGAGCTCAGCCAGTCTGAGATCAATGCTACCAGAGATGATAGACTGCTGAGATTAGAGGCGACCATATCAAAGACACACCATCTTTCCAGCTCTGTGTGCCCTGTGAGTGTGAAAGGCAATGAACTCACTGTCAGTGATGAAGACCCTCTGGGACACAGCTTCTGCGTTCAAGGTGACCTTTCATGTGAGGGACAGAAGATGGTGTAACCGGGTGGGCCTGACCTTTGGAATCAGACCGATGTTGGCTGGAACCCAAACCAGCTTCTTACTAGATATTTTAATGTGGACAGTAACTTTCACTTTTGGGGCCCCATGTTCTTCCTCTGTGCACTGGCTTGCTGTGAAACAAGCCCCCTCCACCAAGGCCACATGTGGAGCCCCAGAGAGACTCCTTGTGCATTTCAAGAGGGTTACTTTGGCAGCAGAAATGAACTTTTTGGAACATCATGTCCATGTAAATAGTCCATCCATCTTATCCTGTTCCAGAGGTCTTTGCATATATTTTGGGGTTTCTGGCTTGGATCTCCAGCCCTGGGACCCTTTGGCCCCAGCACTTTCCAAGTTCAAGACTCTTACATTCACCCAGCACCCTGGTCACTTCCCTCAGTAAGACATCGTGGGAGGGACAGCTCCAGAGGGGAGTTGTAGCTGCCACACTGGCGCGGAAGGAGGGAGGACAGCTTGGTGGCTCTACAATCTTTACTAATCTGAACATGACGAATGACTTCCTGCTCAGGCCAAGAAACTTGCTAATTAGCAATCTAGTATCGTCATCTGCAGTCTGCGGTCCAGTTCGTTTATCTTTGTAGGAACATTAAACACTGGAGATCTGCTCAGCGCATGGGCTCCTTCCTAGCTGCTTCTTTAAGGTCTGGAAGCCTGGAGGAAAGGGTCAGTGTTCTGCACAGGCATTCTGGGGACATCTGGAGCATAGGAGCAGGGAGAGGCAATGGTACAAAAGAGTCAGTCAGAAAGAGATAAATGTACAAGGAAGTCTTGAGAGACATGCCAGAAAAGGACACGCCGCTCTTGCAGAGGATGGGGCAGCTGCCAGCACCTACGTGGCCGCTCACAGGGGAGCCAAGGTCCTCTTCTGGCCTGGGCAGGCACCTGGATCCACGTGGTGCCTATACACACACTCAGTATACATACATGTCCACATAAAATAATAAAATAAATATATTTTTAAAAGAAATTACAGGATCTTGCCATTTCCTTTTCCATGAAATCCTCAGAGCCCCTGTAGGGGGTGAAGTGGCAGGGTTAACGTCATTTGGAGCTAAACAAACTGACTTCCAGAAAGGGCAAAGACTGTCCTCAGGGTCACATGACCAGTAAATGCTTCCTTTCATGTTTCAGCACAATTGGTTTGAGTCCAGAACCACTGTTTGTGACAGCTGTGTGAGCCACTTCTCAAAACAACAGCAGCTGTAGTCTCATTAAACAGCATAACTGAAGATGTAACATACATGGAAAATTACGGGTGCAATGAATTCAAAATTCAGGAGTTTATGGGAGGAAGGGAGAGGTCCTGAGAAGAGTACAGAAAGCTTCTCATGTTACATGGCAAATTCATAGCTCTTCATTTGTGTCGGGTTTCAGTGTGTGTGCGCACATGTGTGCCTGTATGTGTGTTCATTTGTACATGTGCACCCATATGTTTATACACGCACTTGTGTATAGATGTGTACATGCATGCATGTGTATATGCATGTGCATATACTTATACACATGTATATGCATATATGTGTACAAGTGTGTATACACATACATGTGTTGTGAAAACCTAAAAGATGCGTTCATAAGTCAATAATGTTCACCAAAAATAAGATAAAGTCAAATCCACTTGTCGAAATTGCTGTGCAGAATTAAACCTGATACTATTAAGACTCTGTAACAGACACTTAGAAACTGTGCTTGCTGAAAAGCATTGACTGCACTCCGACCCACAGGGAGATATTAACCCGGCACCTCTCCACAGCCATCATTTTGTATCTGTACTCTTTACTTGTGGTTGGTACCTACTTACCTGTATATGGGCATACTAACCACTCAAGGAGTCTATAGAAAGTCTGGTGGCAACTAGCCCCTCCCCCTCACCCCCTGCAAGGCTGAGGCAACAAAATAAGAGCTCCAGAAGCAGCGGGAGATCCTCGTCCTAAACCTGAAGTCCCCTGTGACACCAGAAGCAGCAGAGGCTGTGGAGAGACCATCGCTCCACCCTGAGACCAGAGCTATGCAGAGCAATCACCTGATGGGAACCAGCTTGCTCCCCTCAAACCAGAAGGGCTTCTTTGAAGCTTCTTGTAGAATCATGGCTGACACAATGACCGGCTAGACCACACTCTGACCAGGACTGATGTAGCACGAATTCTAATTTTTCTTAATAATAAAAATCCGAAGTCAGATATTAGGGGGTGAAAGCTGAGAGATCAGAGAAGCAGAGCAGTCACTAGAGAGACCTTTAACCGCCACCAGATCCTCAGACCAAATGGACACTCCTGTCCTCAGACTGTATCCTCAGACTGGACCGTCAAGACTGCTGCCTCGGACTGCGATGAGCTCCTGTCTCCTCCCGCCTTATATTCCTCTCTCCTCCCAGCCATATCACTCCTGTCTCCACCTCCCTAGCTCTAGGATTAAAGGGGTGTGACTCCCAAGTGCTGGGTCCACCTTTGTGTGAACTCTTTTTCTTTTAGGCTGGATCAATTTTGTGTAGCCCAGGGTAGCCTTGAACTAACTAACAGAGATCCGTCTGCCTCTGTCTCCTGAGTCCTGGGATTAAAGGTGAGTGCCACCACTGCCTGGCCTCTAGGGCCTCACTAGTGGCTTAGCTTTGCTCTCTGATCTTCAGACAAGTTTTATTTGCTAGATTACAAACAAAATTCTCCTACAGACTGCCAAAGTGTACATACTTCTCACACTCTGTCCCAGTTGCTCCATATTTAAACTTAAATGTTTGATCAGTTCCCAAAAATGGGCATGGGGATTACTGGACCACTTAATCTTTGTGTTTCACATTGTTGGCCCTTTTTTCCCTGCTCCTCATTCTTTGTATTTGTTATACTGAGGACAGGTGACCCAGCCTGGCCTGTTAGGCCCCCAGATTCAGGGTTTCTGCCCCTAACTGCCAATAACAACCTAAAATGAAAAGCAACAAAGTTGCCGTCTGTGTGATACAATGTCACAGTGTATTAAAATTATCCACCAGTTCTAAGAATTCACCGGGTCTGCTGGCCCTAGGTCTGTTACAGGTTTTCCTGTAGGATGCTCAGAAAAAGGCTGCAACTCCAGCCTTGCGCCCGGCCCTGCCCTTGGCATGCCCACGGTTTCGGTCTGACTCCTCAAGCCTGTGACTGCTCCTGGGGGACATCACCCTTATCTCTCTGGTGTCAGCAGCCAAGAGGCCTAAGGAGCCTG